CTTCAATATCGTTATAAATTACAAAGGTAAGTATCTTTTTAAGTTGACGGTTTTCTTAGGTTGATCGATCTGAAAGATAATTCGTTTTCGGGGCAGTTGTATTTATGCGGCGGTCGTCAACGGGCCGCAGCGCGTGCCAGGAACTATTTGCTTTTTCCAGGCTTAGTCATTTTTTTCACACCTTGTGAAGATAAGGAGCTGCTAATCTGGGAAAAAGTAGCCAAAACAGTGAAAAGTTGGAAAATGACTAAATTAGTCTGGAAAAAGCAAATAGTTCCTGGCACGAGGCGGCCTGGTGACGACCGCCTAATCAATGCCGATTGACGAGAACTGTTCGTAGGACATCTGTCGAAGGGCGGTAAAGCACGCGATTTTACGACAGATTGAGATCCTTGCGGTGCGGGAAGAGGTTCAAAAAGGTAAGTATGTTCATTGCGGAGTTGGTCGGGCCTGTCAGTGAGATGCGGTTTGGGCGCTGCGCCGGGAACGAAAGAGTATTCGGTTAGTTTCGGCGCTCCGCGCGGCAGGCGGATGGGACGGGGTTTTGCTGAATTCGGTGGTGCCTGCATGATAGACCCGCCGTCATCGTGAGTCATCGATGGATACTTTCGGTTACTGAATTGCTGTGCGTTGCATCTACGACTGGAACCGCGATGTTTCTTTGTCACATACCGCCACCAGTTCCTTTCTCCCAGTGGTAGAAGCTACTGTCAGCGAACAATGTTGGTCGAGAACAGACTGCTATAAAAAAATGATAGTATCTCTTCGAAAGGAGAAAGAAAAGAAACGGTCTAGCGTCGCGCAAACCCTTCGCCCCCTCCGCCGACACGCCCCGTCATCCGCAGCGAACAAGACTGTAGCTTTTTCACGAATCAGTAATACTATCCACGAACACGGTAGAATGGTGCAGTTCATGACATCCGAGGCGCTGCATGCCGCGAGAATTATGTAGCAGAGTGTTTTTTGAGTTGCTGACGTGACAGACCTCATGTCGCGTTGAATCCATTGGGTCCTGATGCAAACAGCACTACTCGCAGCGACTCCTTCGCCGTCGTCAGATAACTTGAAGGCATGGGCACGATAATTTGGTATTGGTCTAAAATGGTAACGGGGTACTATATAGTGGGAAAGTGACGAAACAGCGAAGTGAAACGGTCAAAAACCCACAAACCAGCCTTTCTCTACATGACTCAACCTGGAAGCAATTTTGGACGAGTTTCCTGTTGGCATTGCTGCATCGAACAGGGGATATACTTGTCCGTCTAGGACGTTCTAAAGAAACTGCTCCTGTTGACAAACTACTTGTTAGTTGAGGAATGCATTAACAGTCAGTTCGAATCTGTCTTAGCGATATTGTTTAGATCACGAACCTGAGGATCGGTACGAAATATGGATGTAACGGCTATATAAATGGAAAGAACGACGATGATAGTAGCGACTACCTCTTGACTATTGTATGCCTCTACAAAACTAACGAAGTAGAAAAGGAATTGCCCTGAATGATCCTCATTTCCTCATTTTTCGATAGGAAATTTTCTTCTTTCTGTTCAGCTTCGAATAGGGACCTGCATAAAATTTGAGTGAAGCAGTTTTTGGATTGTAAGGCTAAGAGTCCAAGCACGAGATGGCAGTTCTGTTCAATTCAATATAATGACAAGAGCAGGGACTGAACGGCAGGACACTTAAGGATACGCTTCGCAACAAGACAAGATTATAAGTTCAGGTTGTTAGGCGGTGTACAGTACCCCCAAAATTGCGCGTGAAGTTGAAAATGTCGCGTCGTGAACGCACACAAGGGAGGAAGCTCCGGGGTTGGGCGGCCACCCAGGCAGCGACCCCGCCAGGCACCCCAGGCACCCGCCCTCACGGCCGGGTTGTGGTACCCACGCCCAATCTAAGTGGTCCACACAGAACCAGGCCCCGTTGTGTGCATCCACGGACAACACAATTAATCCCACGCGCAAATTTTGGAGGTACTGTACACCCCTAACAACCTGAACCTATAATCTTGTCGCAACAAGAAGCGTAGCTAGTGGTGGAAGAGAGTCTACCAAGGGATTAGTTAGACAAGGTGAAACGAGCTCAAGAAATTGTACGAATTCAGTATGTTGATTCCTTATAATGAACTCCCTGCTTTACCTATGGACCAGGGGGGCTTTCGTTTATGCCACTTGATCGGTGACATCGTTCTTCGTTGGAAGGCAGACTTCGATGTCTGCGTCCGCAAAATGGGCCAGTGGAATGCAAGTGCCATTGGAATACAGGTGTCACTGGAGCAACTGGCTCCTCAGCGTCTTTACCGTACGGCTTTCCGTCAAGAAATCAGTACAAGATTTCCTAATTGAGCGCCACACTAACTTTCCCCTACAATCTTTTACTCTTCCAAGGCACCTTGTCGACATATTCCCACATAATACTTGTGGACCGAACTCAGGGCACAGCATTCGATGGGGATTTTGGTCGAGCTTTTACGACCCCCCCCTTTTTTTCAGGGGCTGGTACGACCCCCCCCCATGGCTCCTACGATGGCTGACATGGCTGACTATGGTTGTGTGGTTTATTACTCCGAGCGAAAAAAAGTGGTGCTTCGAGGGCTGGACCCCCCCCCCTCCCCACAACGACCAAATTACGACCCCCCCCTCCGAAACGTCCGCAAGGAGAGAAAAATCAACTATAAAAATAAATTTTTCCCAGCCCAAATACGACCCCCCCCCTTTTGACGGCCAAATACGACCCCCCATAGGGAATCCCCAACCAATGCTGTGCCCTGCTTACGATGTTACGTAAATACACGAAGAGTAGCCGTGTAATTGCACACCGCAAGCAATTACCGTAACCCCAAAACTGTTTGCATTCGCCCATGGAGTGCAAATGAGATGCTATAGGTTGGTCACTACGTAGGCAAATAATGACCAACATAGTGTACCTTAAATATTAAATGGATCCTACGCTATAATCGCTTCTAAGAAATCACTTCATGCTTCTTCCCTTTGTAGAAACGGCGAAGTTTTGCGGTTTTTCACTCGGGCCCAGTCTACGCCACTAATGAAGAGTATTTTTAACAAGTTGTCTGATCAGCCGTTTCACTGACATCGTAGGGTATCCTACTTGTCTTTCAGCACCTGTATCGTTGCGCACTGTTCGTTCTTGGAGGATTATACATGATTTTCATTCCAATCCATTTTGTATATTGAACTGAAGAAGGCATTTGAATTTTCCTCCGCTACTATGAAGTATCAGCGGCTGGAACAGACCTACAGTCTAACGGCGCCTTCCTCATCTTGCGAGGTCTCGATTTCCTCTGTGGTTCTCAGTTTGGATGCGATTTTCCCTTTTGTAATGCGGGGTCTGATTCACGGCCAAACGTTCTTTCCACGCGGCTATATCTCTGTCCCAGTGAAGAGAAAGATCACTACCGCAGACACCCATTCAGGTGCTGCTTTGCTTCTCGCTCGGAAAGGAAGCCACCAACCTTTCGTTTCGAGCGAAAGGCAGCGTCAGCGGCTAGGGATCAAGATCTCAATGTAGCGAACGCCCGCGTCCACCGCCGTCTAGTCTAGGAGTCATGAATAGGGATATTTGAGGAGACATCATGAAAATGCGTCGTGTGCGACCGCACCGTACAACTGCCAAAGCTTAGAATTAAGCTGGCTTGATGTAAGGTGTAGGGCAGCTTTGAGGTGCCGTAGCACGCACCGCAATATCGGATGCCCAACCAGCTGTGCTAACCTGCCATAATCCCCACTCCTGGACCCCCTTGCACGCTGGAGTTCGCTACTTCAAAGATAGCTAGTGTTCGCTGGCCACGTTGATGGAGCTAGTGGTCCCTGGTCATTGAATGGATGTGATTTCATGTTCAGGAAGTCGAACTACGCCTGGAGACCTACTTTACACAAATCGAAGACGGAACTCCAACTTCGAAAACTTAGCAGTAAAGGATAAATTGTCCCAAAAATTGCAGAGTGACGAGAAGCATTGGTCATTTTTCGATCTACTCCCGAAATCCTGTACGTCTTCGAACTAATGCGATTAATTCGTTTCATCAATGCTACAATTTTTATTTCTTCAATTCGTCAATTCTTCCGATAAGAGACGGGAAGAGCCGTACCAGTTACCAAAGTAGAAGTAGTACGGAATGTTTAGCTACGGAATGTTTCCTTGAAAGCTATCTTGATAAAGAATAAGCTTTCCATTAATACAATTACCAACCTATCGCCACCCACAGTTCATGGGCGAATGCAAACAGATTGGGGTTACGGTAATCGCCTGATGTGTGCAATTACACGGCTACCCTTCGTGTATTTACGTAACATCAGGTCTTACACGCTGGTTTTTCGACAGGTTTTTTCCCTCCTGCACCGTCCCCACGCTCTAGGAGGGCTGGGTTTGATGCGACGCCAACCCGTCCCCACCGATTGTGATCGCGTGCCACCTTTCATAATTGCAGGAAAACAAGCTGGTGCTGCGCCAGAGCCAGTCCTGAAACCGGCCGGCCCTTTACTGCCTGTTTTCAGTCACTTCTTCAGAGCCCGAAGGAATTCGCGCGCAATTTCGATGATACTTGGACAACGTTTACTACTCACTCCTCGAAGTCAGGTTCAAATTTGAATGTATTTTACCGAATCATTTATCGACTCAGTCCGATAGTCCAGTTGCGATTCTTTAGATCCAGCCCTACACCATATTTGCTTCACCAATGGAGAACGCAGCACCAAACCCAACCCCTCTTAAACGCTCCCGCAGTAGACTGTAGCCTTCCCTCGCCAACAAAACAGACTGCACCGGAAAATGTTATTTTTATCATGTTATCGGTATTTACATCAGCATTCGAGATTAATCATATTTAGTTGTAATAAAAGCATGAATCAAGTTTTGAGAAAAAAATAATTGGCCTTAAAGAAGCTCGCTATGTCCCCCAACTAGCCCACTTTTAAATGACTAAATAAAATTGACATTAAAAATACTTTGAAGTGACAAGTAAGAGATGGAACCGGTCGTATTTAGTATCGTTTCCTTATGGTAGCGCTGGATCCTTCAAACGGGGTAGCTTTCTTCGCAGCCGCCAACTTCGCTTCTTGCAGTTCACGTTCGGTATCGAAACGAGACTTGTAGTCGTACCGTATGAATGACAGCTTGCCTGTAATGTACCGTTATTAAAATAACAATGCATCCTCATACTGAATCGCAAAAGCATTCGCATGCCCACACGGCTCTATAAAAATCTGCGGAGACCAGCACAATCACATCATTAGTTTGATTTTCGCCAATTTAGGTCAGACATCTGCTGCTGAACCGGAACGAACCTTAAGGGCGAGATCAATTCTGAATCGATGCCGCGGTCTCAGTGACAGCGTTTCATTGCTCTCCACGAGGGTATAAGTGGCAGATAATCGCAATCGCACGTGGACGTATGAGCGTCTTCCGCGCATATAAGGGACGATTTGTCCTCCCCTAGCCGTTTGAACTCGAGTGTTAGAGGAACGAGACAGTTCTATGTCAAGTGGTATCTGCTCTCGCTCGCGGGAATTCACATGTCTTCACACTTCGCACATGTACGGATTACGATTGTCGTTCCCTGCAAAATACGGCATACAACCGTTGGGCTGCACTGCACCCGATGAACCATCTTTCACGGAATCTCCGCAATACAGCAACCCAATATCCTACTCCATGATCACCTACAGCAACCCAGTCCCTCAGTTTGAAACTCTACAGGGGGGGGGGGGGGGGCAAAAAAAGACACTCTTCTTCCTTGAATTTCGAGGCGCTATAAGTTACACTTCATTAAATTCTGATCGGACATTTCTACCACCATATAAAGAGCATATTAAATACTATCATGATACTCCGCCACAGCCTTCTGGACGAGCGCCATCGAGAGATTCTGCACGCGACCGCGATGTGGTGCCTGAGATCACGCGGAAATAGTCGATTTCTCACCGTAGACCACTATCGAACTCCGCCCGCGACCGGGTAATTGGGACGGGGGGTTTGGTTCAGGGACCTGTCAGATATTCCACCCTCCTTCAGGAACCCGAACGCCCTATCCATTACGAATAGTGCGAGGTTTTCCCAAATGCACTTCGATTCTATGTGAGTGAGGAATTATGTCTTCTCGAGTTTGTTGATGTTAACGTGGCCGCCCTCATCTCAGTCGGGTCCACAAAGAAATATCGGTATCTCCATTCCAGCGTCGTCCGCGTCCCACCATCAATGACCTCTGTGCGGACTAGTGAAGATGATGCTCCCTACCGTAGCCGACTTGTCGGAGCTGCTCGATGATGGAGGTCTTCCAGATCGAGAGTACTGGTCTCCAGGTAGCTATCCATGGGTGACTCCATACTAGAAGTTTCGCAGCTGTTTGGAGGTGACATGAATTCAAAGGTCTTCTCCAGTCAGGCCGCTGCGACTGGAGATGACTTCATATTTTGGTGTACATGAAGGTGATGGGCGAGAGCCAGCTCCTGCTTATCGAGGAACATCTTGGGTATCTTCCGCCCTGGTACTCGTATCCACGTCTCTGTCTGGGCTGCGAAAACTTGGTGACTCGGTCTCAGTATCGTTTTTTGACCCCCCCCCCCTCTGTATTTAGAAGATAACTATATTCAACCTGAAACCTTTACCTGGTTTGTAGTCTTCGATGCACACGACTGGTGGCAATGATTGCAGGGTATCAAGAAGGTCATCGGCTTGATCAGAACAAAGACTGTTCGATGAAGGCTTCTTCTTTCCATCCAAACGCTGTCCCGATCCACTGAATGCTGAGAACTGTGAACCACTGGGAGGCGGCATTGCTTTCACAGCCGGTGCTGGCGGCTGGAATGAGAATTCCTTTTAAGGATCAAAAAATTCTGGCACCACTTAACTGCCCCAGCCTTCCAAACTAAGGTTGGTTCTTTTTATCAGAGCTTCTTCTCCGGGATCAGATTTGGTTGAAAATCAGCCTCCACGAGTTTTTTCCGCTGAACAAGAATATCGCGACCGCTGAGCTTGGAACCTGACAACAGCGTCAAAATACCCTATATCAAGCTCGCCGAAACGTTACCTCCAGAGATAATTTGACCACCTGAACATGAATATCACACGGGCGCAAAATGCCTAGGCCTGTGTTACAGGCGACGGCACGACAGTATCTCATATCTCAAGCCGACGCAAGAAGCATCACTTCAGGCTGTTTATGCCAAACGCTGTGCTCGGGCCGGCTTCCTCACTTCTCTTGCTAAAGCTCTGCACACAAGCGGGCGGGGGAAGACTTAAAAGAAGGGAAAGAACAAGACTGCAGCACAGGAATGGATTACTATCTCGGAAGAAGGGTGCATACAAGCAGAAGCAGGTCGCGCTGTAACCTTTTCCCCATGCTTACTCCTTTCAGCGACCGTGTCGATGTGACATCCGTGTTCACTCCTACGCTTAAGTTTCGAGCCACTTCCGCGATATGAGGCATTTTGGCGCAGGCGCCAGGCGATCTCGCGCCTCACGCTGCGAATGTTCAGGGGATTAAAGTCCCCTGGACCCATTTCCAGACAAATCGAACCGAAACTTCGAAAACTAGGGCAGTGAAGTGGGACAAGTGTCAAGATTGTGAGTTCTAATTCGCCTCTTAAAAAAAATTCGAAAACCTTGGAGAAACGAAAAAAAAATGAACGGCCTGTTAACGGCTTCAACCGTGGATAATTAAAATTCCTCTTACCTTAAAGCCAGCTGCAGGTTTCGCCGATTTAGGCTGTTCTACATATCCTTCGGGTGCATCGAAATCTAGATTTAGATCACACTCAATGATACAAACCGCATTACTTGGTTTCACTTCCTGCACCAGAAACTCGAGTACTTGATCCGCATACTGAAAAACGACAATTGCAAAAGCGGCATAAAGCAGAAACACGATCGTCTGAGTGCAGCTGTCAAAGGCAAAGTATGGTTATGAATTCCTGAGTCGTAGGTTCCTTGATATATGTGAGCTGCACAGCTCCGCAACTGCAGTTGCGTGCCACTTTTCCCCCTCAAAAGTGCACGGAGTGGGCTGGAGGACAGTAAACTCGGGTTTCGTCTCCAGGCTCCGTCCATGCCATCCTCAAGGTGTAGCGCTTGCGTTGATACCACAATCAGGCAGCGAAACACGCAATGAAAGGTACAGAATAAACAGAACTGGGAAAACGCAGAAAAGTAGCGCGCTTGGTTATGCTTACACGTGTAGTTAGCCGAGGGCAAGCAGGCAGAGGATGCAGACGGCATCCGGTATCTCGGGTATGTGACAAGAGAATCGCAATTCGCCGCGCTCGTGGGGTCGCGCTTGCCCGCAAATAACGATGGTGCAGTTGTAGATCAGAAAACAGGCAGTTCAGAACGGAAATGGTCACGAATATCTTACGATGACGGGGTCTAATGAAGTCCGGGCTCCACAAACGAGTCAGCACGAGCGCAAGGAAAGGCCGCTTTCATTCGCGCGCGCGGCAGAATCGCGATTCTTGTCCGTATCCCGGGTATCGCTAGCCTCCAGCTCAGTACCTGTGCAAATCTGATCGGGGAAAGTCGCACTCTACCGCAGCTGGGGACCCATTTACCTCTTACATGGCAAGAACCAGGATCCAGTAATGTGAAATTGCTCGTTCTTTAAATAGTACACCAGAGAAGAAAACGAACCAAAACGGCAATGATGTCATTCTTTGTCAAGCAGGCAAACTTTCGTAGTTCAACTTCGAGGACGGCCCTAAAGCAATCATTTCCAATGACTAAGAAAATGCGGTAACTTTTTTCAGCGTGAATAACGGTTTTCCATTTGGAAGTTTGTGTGGAACACGCTTCAGCATGCGCGATCCCGGGAGCTCAAATCCCGGAAGGCGTGCGTGGCAAGCGTGCCACTTGCCACCAAACCATCTCTGCCTCAACGAAAGGAAAGTAAAATGTAATGGATCTTCAAGGTAATACATCAGCGAGTACTCTTGGAAGATTCAAAGAAAGTTTCTTCATATGAAAAGATGCAGCTGAACTGCTTTACTAACCTAGGATTACTGATGTTTAGAAACTCAAGCGATTGCGGTTTAAGTTTCGCGTAGGTAGCCGACTGAAGTGTAACCGAGTCCACGCGAACTTCAGCTCCTTCATCGATACGTAACTGTTTCATCATCTTGAAAAGAAACTTTCAGCATTCACTGCTACTATCAACACATAGGCAGCTCGACTGTTAGTCAATAGTTACAGATTGATGACACACCCACCCACTGAGGGAGATAACACTTCCCTTCTGGGGCTGAAAACTCTAAAACTCCACAGTTTGTAGATCGAGAATTCTCGCAGACTGACGACACCTAAAAACCACTCGAACTGTCCGCAAAAAGAGACAATCATTTGAATTCTGTAAGGGACTCCTCACCTTGAAGAGCATAGGATAAGGCACATTGTATCGTATCAGATAATCCAACGCGGAATTTGGCAACAAAATCTATAGAGAACGAATTAGTTTCGAAGAACCATAAAGGAGTCTGAGTCTCCGTTGTACTCACCTTTCCACCGTAATTCAATTCGACGACTTTAGCTGAATCCGCATCAATAAATGCAGCTGAATACGCCCGCATCTGACAACTATACCGACCACTATATCCGCCTCCCATACCCATCATACCACTCAGTATATTCATCATCTTTCTGCAATCGATAAAAAAATGACCTGTGGGTTTTGAACTGCTTTGAACAGGACGGTACGGAAAACAAGCAAAACTCTAATGGCGATCATCTGAAATCATTTGCACAAGTTAGAAATCGGCCACATCTGACTTGTTAAAAAAAACGGCGCCTTT